CTCGCTCCCTCCCTTCCCTCCCCTCACCCTGATCATTTCTCCCCTGTTCGGGTCCTGACTCAACTGTCCAGCGCCTTGGAACGTCCTCCTGATGTGAAAGGCACTCTATAAATGAAATCTTGTTGTTGTTGTTATATAGCACACTTCATGGGGGTAGCATCCCAGAGCGCTTAGAGGTCCTCCCAGGCCAAACAAGGTGCTGTAAATGGTGCAGGCACTCGGCGGAGATTGGGTAAGGTAATGTCTTGGAGCACATTACAATAATGGCAATAATGCACCTGATTTGATGCATTTCAGAGGTCTCTGTTCTATTGGAGGGCTGCACTGTGACCTCCTGTCACAGAGGGTGGGAAAATGGCTCTCTAATAGACCAGAGGCCTTTGCGATACATCTGATCATTATTGTATTATTGCCATTATTGTAATGTGCTCCAAGACATTACCTTACATGAAGGGTGCTATATGAAATAAGTTGTTGTTATTGCTACCATCCTAGTCTCTAGAATTTCTCCTGTGTGAAGCAATATATTTGCAGAACTATTATTTGCTGTTTGGGGCTGCTTTCTCTAGCCATTGGACTGTATGAGAATAGTTAGATTTGATCATATAAAATCAGTGAGCCTTTTTATCATTATGCCATTGATAATAGCTCATGCATTCTGTTTCACTGCCTTCTCATTGATTGCCTCCAGTCGGTTTAGGTTGTCATTAGGATGCTGCTCCTGATGTGATCCCTTGCTATCGATCAATATCTTCCAATTTTCTAAAATATCCCTACTGTTGCAACCAACCGATTACACTACATTGTGTGTCATTTTTCAATGGCCATTGCTTCATTGATCAATAATTCATCAATAAGACTTATTATATCACTGCAAACTGATCTTTACCTTCAATGATGCCAGAAACATTTCTTTTACACGTAGTTTTATACATTTATCCTCTGTGTTTCTGCATAATTTTAAGCAGAATAGGTACTGAGGCCTAAGTATTATTTGTTCTACTTGTATTCATATGTTCAAATGCTTGCAGATTGGGTGCCTTTTATTCTCATTTAAATAAGACAACTCCATAATCGTTGTGGAATATGCACAATAGTCAACCCATTTCATCTTTGTGTTAAAGTTTTCCATCAATTCCAATCATAATATCCATTCATTTGGGTTTCTTTCAGGAAAAGAACTGCGCAATTGTCTTATGCAACATGCTGATTTTCTATTTCTTTGCGAAGTTGCTCACAAAACTCAAGGTACTACTTAAGGCTAGAAACAGAGAGTTCCTATCTCACAGCACTTACGTGTCAGAGTCAATTAGTGCAAAAAGGCAGCATCATAAAATACCTTTATCCACAATGAAACATGTAGATTCAGAACAAAATGGGTTTAATTTGTTATACAGTCCCCTCTTCAAAGGATACATTACATTTGTGCAGAATCTGACCACATTGTGGGTCTCTGAGTGACAGTTCCAGTTATTTCCTTGTGTTTCAGGTCTTCATCCCAAAAACCTCACACTGCAATAAACTTTCTTGCTGCTGGATAGCTCAAGAGCACTGCTGTTGGATCTCTAGATATTATTAAGCACTATATCAACTTATTTTTTAATGGAATATGTCAGGATCAAATTCCTTTAGATTAACAACTGTTTCAACAAAATAAACACTAATTCTCATCTGTACTCCAATTATAACCTGCTAGAAACGAATAAAAGCCAATACATATTCATGAAACTCTTGCATTAAAGTACATCAAAATGTATCATTTGATCAGACCACTGCATAAATATTTACTCTGAATTACATTGGATTAACACAAATAAAACATTTTTGTCTGGAAGAGGACATCTCTACCCAGAACTCCAGGTAAAACTTTTTCCTCTTTTCAAACCATGTTATAGGATTTTAATGTTCATCTGATCCTTAGTTTACTGTCTTATTTGAAAGACAGCACCTCCAACAATGCAGTGTTCCCCAGTAAAAATAGAAGACTCAATAGGAGATGCAAGAATTTGGGTAGAATAAATAATTACAGCAAACAAAATAATAATTGACAGCTGTTAGTTCAGTTGAACCAGTGACTAGTGAGTCATTTAGATAAGTAGCAGAGACTTTAGCGAATTGTGTTATGATAATTATGAGAGATATTTATATCCTAGAGGTAAAGTGAATAGATTAGGGACAACTGCGAGGGAGGGATAAAAGCACGCACAATTTCATTGAGGTAGAGCAACTGGGCAGATGACATATTAGATTTAGTCATCAGCAGTTCATTAAAGCTGCTTATTAATTAGAGAGTGGTGAACAATTGGATTCTCATGTATTCTGATTTGGTTTTGAAATTAATTTGAAGGTCAAAGGTAATGTAAACTTGTAAGTTTTCAGAACATAGCAATAGCCTTGGGACTGCAAAGATGTTACTATAGATGATTAATTTAGAAGTAGTGCTAGTTGGAAAATAAAGTAATAAAATGCTACATGTTTCATGAACAAATTGAAAACATAGCTTGTTCTCACCTTCAAATCTGATTCGATAACAACTTTTAAGAGAGAAATAGATAATTATTTGGGGAGGACAAGTTTACAGGGCTATTGGAAGAGAGCAGGGGAGTGGGATTGATTTGGGTAGCACTTTGAAAAGAGCAAGCACAGACGTGATGGACCGAATGGCCTCCTTCTGTGCTGTATAATTCTATGATTCACTGATTAACCCTGGATCTCTTTTCCTAAAGGGACAAATTACCATGACAAACACATTCTAAGTTTGAAAATAAATGCTAAGTCATTAGGACTAAAGATAGTTGATGGTGAATTCCTTCTGATTCATCTTCTGAAATAAACCAGTGTTCTGTGACGTTCTGCATTCTTTCCACTTCATCGTCCGGTGCTAATGTAAAAAAACAAGAAAATAGTGAACCTGGTTAATCTGAATACATTGTTAATGGATGAATGAAGATTACTGGCTCTACTGTAATGGATTCAATAGTTCAGTGATTAACACACCTCTGTTTCCCTAGCAGTAAGTATGAAATTGGTTGTTAGTCGATTGGTAGATTGCTTTTCCAGGGATAATAATCCCTTTAAAAAAAATTGGTTTCCCAATCCAAGACTGTTTGTGGGACACTGCTGTACACAATTGGCTGCCGTGTTTCAGTCACAAAATATACAGTCAATCCACTTTACAGTGTATTCTGTGAAGAGCTTTGAGACATCTCAACGACATGATTAGGCGCTTTATCAAATGCAAGGATTATTATTATAAGAAACTGCTAAAACATTGTGTTGCTACCATTCTACATTAGACCGCTCCCTCCTATCTGCTACCCATCTATCAGCACCCCCTGTGAACTTTTGCGTGTCAGCCTGCTTTCTCTTCTTTCAGATTTCTGGGCTGCGCTAGTTTATTTTCCACATTAGCCCTGGATGAGGTGGAAATAATGAAGGACCTGATACGGTATCAAGTCATGGTGCATGGATGTGGAGGGATGGGAGGTTTGAAGAGAATAAGGAAGCAGAACACAAAATATTGAATGAAGAAGTGCTGGTCTGGGAGAATCTCAGTCATATTTTGGCTGTGGCTACTGCTCATTAGAAAATAACAATGAGTTTAGAGGATGAGTTTGCTTTTCTCCCAAAGCTAAAACAAAATAAATTTGTAGTAACTTCAAATAAATGAATGAACTTGAGACTTGGAAAAGTTTATATACAGTGACCTGAGATAGAATACAGTACAGTATACAGTAAACCTCACATAAGTCATATAAGTTTGGACCTTACATTTAATATGACTTATGCAAAGTATGAGTCATGTCAAACTTGCATAGAATATAAACTCTTGAACTGGACTTGGACTGGGTATGACTTAAGCGATTATATGATTTATATAGATCAGACTTGTGCAAGTTTTACTGTACTGTACTTAAAAATATATTTTGTGACTTCTCAATGTAAAGTACTTTCTACTAGTTATGCAACTTTGATTGGCGGATCGCTTTTCCCGGGGATAATAATCCCTTCAAAAAAAAATAATAAAAAAAAATTGGGTCACTCAATCCACGACTGTTTGTGGGACGCTGCTGTGCGCAATTGGCTGCCGCGTTTCACCCACAAAATATACAGTCAACTCACTTTACAGTGTATCCTGCGAAGCGCTTTGAGACGTTTTGGAGACATGATGAGGCGCTGTATCAAATGCAAGGATTATTATTATTGTAACGTCATTACAAGAGTTCAAAACTTTTGCTGAACATGCTTCACTGGTGTCAATGCACAAATGCAACAGGGTGGGCGAGGGAGCTGCTGTACCCTCACATGACAGTAGTTGCACATGAAACACATCCAATTTAAAGCAGTTTCCTTTATAAAAAAAACCCACACAGGTACATAGGTGGGCATGACAGTGGAATATCAAACCCAACTTGACTGCCAGAGACTTGGACCACTGTGTTGAGAGTTGGACATCTTTCATTCTCTCACACAGACACACACACACACACACACAAAACACAGCAGCACTTGTTACCTGGATCTTGTCTCTTGCTACAAGTGATGGCTGAGACAACTCTCACTCAAGACTCACACACATACTCTTATTCACCCACAGCACCAGCACCAACAGAGCAACACTGGGCTCTCTCCTGAGTGAGCTTCACTATCATTGGGCACAGACAGCAGCTGTTGAGAAGTGGAGGGGTGGAGGTGGTGGTGGGGGTGGAAAGAGAGAGAGAGAGAAAAAAAATGATCTTTAATTCGAAAAAAAAAATACCAGACCCAATTCCACCCTGAGCTGTAAGACTGAGTGCACTTCATTGGTTGGGGAGAGAGGCTGCAGATGGTTTAGCAGTGACTCGCTGTGTGAGTGAGTGAGTGAGTGAGTGAGTGATGGTCACACTGTGAGTCCACATCTCTCTCCATCTCTCTCTCTCTCCATCCCTCTCTCTCTCTCTCTCTCTCTGTGTGTGGTGTGTGACTCTGTCCATCCTTTGGGAAAGGATGACTGAGTGGCAATGAGCGCCCACAACGAGGACGGCATCAGCCTGTGCGAGAAGGCACTTCACATAGTCACAGAACTCTGCTTTAGGGGACTGGTGGAGCAGAAGAAATGCCACGAATTTGTCTTCAGTGTGGACCGCAGGAAGCCAGGGATCACAGGTGCAGGTACCAGCCATCCACTTGGGGGGGCTTTGTGTGGTGTGTTTGTGCAAAGAGAGAGAGAGAGAGAGAGAGGGGGGGGATAGCAAAAAAAAAATAATAATAATAATAATTGTACAAGTGCCCCCAATAAGCTATTGAGTGGGCTGTTTGGTTTGTGAACTTTTTTTTTCAAAAAAAAAATCTATATTCTTGGCAACTGGGATTAGGTTTGCACAAACCCATGTGTTGAACGTGGGTGTGTTATTATTATTATTATTATTATTATTATTATTATTTTTATTGCATTGCACTGGTGATCTGTGCAACTCTTGTGCAGTTGCAGGTAACCAGGGCTGTTGGCATCACTCACTGTGTGGCTTGTCGTTATCTGATGAGCAATCTGTTTCTTTTTTTTTTAATTTCCCCCTCCCATCATAAAATAGTCATTATTTTGCACCAACTAATTCAGTGGCTGAGTTTCTGTAACTACTCTTTATTTTTTTTGCAGTGCAAACGTAAGCCTCTGTCTGTCTGTCTCTCTCTCTCTCTCTCACATACACACACACACACACATAAGCAACAATTATGGACTGAAATGGTAAAAATTCAACTGTTGAGTTGTTTCCCATTGATCTTATACAGAAGAGATAAACGATGATCCTGGTCGAGCTGAGAAGCAAATGTGTGGATGGAACACAATTCACATCTAAAATATACTGAGGTTTCTGTCAGGTCTTAAGTTGTAGATAAATGGAAAGCATTAAATGAAGCAACTGTCATGTTTTTTTTTGCTTCCGATTTGCCATAAAAGATAGTCTTATATTTTGCCCACCTCCACATTAGTGGTCGATTAATATCTTGCTCGCCTTCACTGGATCCGACAGGTAGAAATGCATCTGTTTCGTTTAACGTTGCTTGACCGTTAAGGCAATATGTACAAGTATTTTGTCTTTAAGATGGTCAGATGCACATCTGCCATTCAAAGTAACAACAGTGATTAGTGGAGGAGAGAAACATGTTGTTGTTGTTGTTGTGCATGAATGAAGACAATAAAAAGCCAAAAGGACCCAATTAAATACCCTCATTGCAGGCTTACAATACACATCCCATGCCCCCTGAGCGCTGGAGAGATTACACCCTTCACATTCAGATTTTTGATTCAGAAAAAGAGCTAAGGGAGAAATCCCATTCATATTTCAGTCGGTGAGATGGAGCCATTGCATTCATTCAGTTGTGTTTGGGAGATTTTCATTTTCTCATATTCTCTTTGATGTTTTAAAGTAACAGATGCTTTAAAGTAATTTTTAAAAAAATGCTTCCAACTCCCACCCCAATCCCGATTCCTTAATGCATTTCATTTTTTTTAAAGATTGCACCCGTACAAATGGACAAGGATCAATTTATTGGCAATTGTTACCTTGAAGATCACTAGCATTTTCCATATGTTTCGTACTTATTTAGAATAACATTGAAAACATTTATACAGTTACAACAAAACCACCAATTTGCTTACCAGCACTGAAACAGTCCAGCCAGGCAACCTTGAGTTTTAAGTTGTAAAATTCAAATAAGTACAAAATAAACATCACACATTCTTATATTTTAATTTGATTTTAATAGAATTCCTTTCCTGGTGAGCTAACCATCCGGATTGTTTGCAAACACTTAAACATAAGATTTAAAAACAAATCTGTGACAATAGTTTTGAAGTAGATCAACATAGAATACAGTTTGAAGAGTTCACCTTCCATCAGCACACTAATATTGTTCCTGTATTCTTTGACGTATGCACATTAAGCGGAATGATAATTGTTATCTGGGACAATGTGAACAAGATTATGTTCTTAACAGCTACAGAACTAGGCAAACGAGAGTGAAAAGTTCAAAGGAGTGCAACTATGTTGGGTCTTTATTTTCCAAGGTAGAGTTATTACAGCTCCATTCATGCTATAAGGCTCAGGAACCAGTTACAACGGTGTCCCAAACTTTGGCCCTTGCCAGCCTATGATTAATACTCTACATAATTAGATAATGCATCCCTCTGGAGAGAGAGTGTGCATTCCATTCCAAACATGGGAATCTCCATCTATATGTGGGATGCCTGGAAATCTCAGACTGGTTTGATACTTTCAAGCATGAAGATGGTCTCCGAATTTGTCAGACACCCAGCTGACCAAAACAAAGCCCCTCTCCCCACCCNTTTTTTTTAAAAGAAGGATAACTTTGAACTCTTTCACTGCCATGAAATAATGTATGAATTACTTTATATGTGTTATTTTGTCTCTCTTATACATATTTTTGGTTCAAAACAAATGGCATTGGTGTTGACCACAACATTTCAGAAGCCAACATACCTACTACTTGGCTCAAAACCTGAAGTGATATAATACCAAGAGACCCAGACTGCAGTGATATGAACTTTACGTTTTCTAATTATTATAGAGAAGTGACATTACCATGCATATGTTTACATCATATATGTGCAAAATGCAAACACTGCTTGCCTCACTGATGTTTGGGCAATGTGCCCAAACTAATCCTCAGCATAATGTTGGTAATATCTATTTCAAGTTATCACAGCTTCACTATTAGTTGCTGATCCTTAGGCTCTGGATTGACTTAATCCACTGATGTTCCATTTTTATTTGATCAACGTCTAAACTCCAGTGAGTCAGTGAGAACCATAGCATTACATTAACATCAAAGATGCTACTTTGCCCCTTTCTACATCAGTTCATACATTGTCGAAAGGAAAACTAACTTTAAAATTTAAATGCTCTAGTTTTTAAAAAACACAAGTGTAAAAATTATTTGAGTATGATATTGATTTTTATGGCACTATGACAAGCATGGACTGATTTAACTTCTCTGTGGAACAAAATTGTATTGCAATGTAACCTTTGCAATATTCTCCATATGCAGCTGAGAAATCATTACTAGTACGTAATATGCTTCCCATAGCTTTAGTGTCACTGCTGGATTTTACCAAGCTAATTGGTGCAGAACTACATTGATAATGATGTGGATTGATGAAAAATGTATCTACCCAAACAAATCTTCAGCAATTAAGATATTACTGCTCTTAATTTGCAACTAACTAACTTTTCCACAACCTATTTATCTATATGCAGAACTATAGCATTGAGGTGCTTTCAACTCTTGCCAGTCAGGAATAATTATTTGTAACTCACTTTTTAAGATGTAATAAAATGGTGACTTTAGTTGTGTAAAGTGATATTTGATTGAACATTTTGTGAAATTTCTTTGTGAAAAAAATCCACATATATAAAATTTAATTTGAAATTTTCAAAGTATTTGTTTTTCTTTCCTACTGCAGAGAAAGAAGCAAAGATGTGTGTTTTGTGCGCTTACAATGTTGATCTCCACTTCTGTGTTCTGTTTTCTGCTGATCATAAAGTTGAGATGAAAGCAGTGATCAGAACTGTGCATTTTCAATTTTAATCGCTGGCAAAAATGCAACATTTTGAAATGTGTTTGAAACTCGGAATGCCTTTAGAGTTAATTCACTTTAGTGAAAACTGGTTATGGAGGAGGAAAGTTAATTCTTGGGGATGGTGAGTTTGCATAAAGTTATTAAAAATGTGTTAACTAACAGTAATGAAAAATAAAGGAAAATGTCTTTCTGTTTGTTTTTGCTCAATGTTTTAAATGTCTAAATGATTGTATCACACAGTTGGACTGAACGTGATTTATTTGAGTGAAGTTTCTTCTGAAACCAGCATTTTTCCCATACCCACAAATTGCTTGATGCATCTCATTATATAATTCATATTTAAGCAGTTGCTTCCTTTTAAATGATTGTCTTCCATGCCTCTGATTTACATTAACTATGATATCAAATCCTGAGCTTTATAAACAATGTGAAAACTAACATGAACAAAGACACTGAAAGTTACGACTGTTAAATTCTTCCACACAATAATGAACTCACAAACCAGCCCATCTCAACACGGAATGCATCAAATCACATCACAATAATTCTGCCATCTGTGATAATTTAATTTATTGCCTCCATCATTTTGAAAGGACTTTGAAGTGCATTACAACTTTGTTGCCAATGGTGAATACATCACCAGTGACCATGACTTTCAAAAAACACAGTGAAGCATCTTACTGTATATAATCACCAAAAGGATCTGTTAAATCTAAGCTACATCTCAGACTTTCTTTGTGCAAAATATTTATTTTTTGCTGTTGTTGTGGCATGGAAGCCAGAAGATGAAATAACTCAGTCGTGTAGGTAATTGACAGGACCCTTGGGGGATAAAGAGAATCCTATTCATAATTAAAATGAAAACTGAGGTGTGTTGGAGTCTTAGAATGAAAATAAATGGCGCAGTGCAGAGCATTTAGGAGAAAACTAACGCGTTCAAATTGGCTATTACATTCATAACAATAAAAAGACCTCATAAACCGATAGTGCTATTGGATAGTCAAGAGGCTAATTGTTATGGAGAGGTGAAAAAACACTTATCATCCTTGATGGTTTGAACTTGCAAGATCACGTGGAACATTGGCTGTGCAAGAGAGTAACTGCTGGCTTCATGAGAAATAGACGTGGGTTGCCAGAGAATAAGATAGGCTTTTTGTCAGTGCATACCATCTTATAATAAATATTTTGTGCATTCAAATGGTAAAAGGCTTGCGGTACAATACACAATACAATGCTCTGTACATTGATAGCCAATATTATTATAATAATACTTGCATTTGATAGTTTTGTTGAGACGTCTTAAAGCGCTTCACAGGATACACTGTAAAGTGTAGTGACTGAATTTTGTGGCTGAAATGAAGCAGCCAATTGCGCACAGCAGTGTCCCACAAACAATATTGTTGCTGACTTGACCCACTTAGTTGGAAAACATATTTTGTGGATTGTTCGAATAAACTCAATGTTCATATGTTTCAATCTGGGTAATCCTCATCAAGGAACCAGGATTCTCAAACTCCAATATACTGTATTAGAGCAAAATAAATCTTTCATTTATAATACTTGTAAGTGGCCAAAAGTGGTCTGAGCAAACAAGTGTGTTTTATTTTTTAAATCCTGACTGAGGCAGATTTTACAGTTTCGAAATGTGCTATTTCATTCTTGTAGTTTTACTTTGGTTCTACTCCATGTTATGAACTAGTCTGGTATTTTCTACCGAGTACAGTGCAACTTGATACAAATCAATTGTTTTACTGAAAAATAGTGTTTAAAATATAAGTATTTGCAATTAAAACAATAAAAGTAGTAAACTAAATAGTGGGTCACCGATACATGGAGTTAACTGAAAAAAGAGTAATGCATCAAAGTGTTAAACTAGACAATACTGAAAGAGTTATGGAATCCAAATTGGACAGCATGAAAATGTAGCAAAGAGATATATTAATGGAGTATCAATGTAGTTTCTGTAAATACACCAAAAGAACATGGACGCCATTCCTACACCAATATATATCTCTCTCTTTTCAGGCCTCCAGCAATACATCAAGCACTTACAATACTAAGAGTCTCAATCACCAGCTTAATCTCTAATAAAGTATTCATTTAATTTTGATCTATCATGGGCTGTTTGGGCTATTTGGGCTCTCTTTCTCTTCTCATCCTTCTCTGCTGCCTTTGATACTTTCGACCACACTATTTTTCTCCGCTGCCTCTCCTCTCTTTCGCCATCGGAGCTCGGGCCTTCAGCTTCTCTGCCCCCACCATCTGGAACTCTCTCTCAGAATCCCTCTGCCTTACCCCCTCCCTTGCTTTCTTCACGGCCCATCTCAGTGCTACGTATATTTGGAAATCATTGTTGCTTATTGAGTTGTGATCACGTAAGGGAATGCTGTCTTCATAAAAAGTGTTTAGCAAACCGAATTATGTTTGGGAGGGAGAATTGTTGGTCGTGCTGTATTGATATTTGCCTTGATGCACGTGACATGAAAATGCTTTTTGTTTCGATTTGTGTTATCAATACTGTGCATTTGTAAACGATTCAAAGAAAAATGCTCCACCACTTTGCATAAAGACAATGGCCCTTTAAAATACAGAAATTTTACATTTCCAACAGTGACTTTGGCAGTTGGAAAATTTAGTAAATCTTTATGAAACATGGAAAAGTCGAAAGGTTTGGGATTTTCACAGTTTTAGCTGGTTAACTTCAATCCAGCCGTGGAGAAAATGTTTGCAATGGGGATTAATTCTCAAGTGTTGTCTCACTAACTTGCGAAGAGGGAGAAAACGATCCAATAATCCATTGTGTAGCCCAGTTCTCCCAAACTGAAGCAGGTGGCATTTTGTTTCAGGTGACTAGACTGCTACTCAATTGGGCGCAAACATTAACTATAATAGTAAGGGACTGTTGATGTCATTCAGATTTTGTTACTCTTAATAACAAATAATTGCTGAGTAGAAATTATGAAATTGAATTATTTTACAGTAGAAGCCTATAAACCAGAACAAACCTTTGGTAAGCAAAACACGCTTTGTTTGTTCTCATTGATCAAGCGCTGTGGAATGTACGTGTCTGTATGGGAAATTTAATTGGCGTCAGGCAAATCTACCCCTTTATACTATCATTCCGAATATCACTGTGCCCATTATTTGGTGTGAACTGTAATATTGCTTTGGATGTTATATATCTGAAACCAGCTTCTTTCTCACAGCTTCTTTTCCTCTCTTCTTTTCTCTCCTCCTTGTTTGTCTGTCATGCTGGTTGTTTACTTCTACTTTCTGGTTGCTTGTAGACATTTCAGTCAGTCTGCTTGCTGTAGTCGTCAGTTTCTGTGGGCTTTCCCTGTTGGTAGTTTCTCTGTTTGTGTTTTGGAAGCTGTGCTGGCCGTGCTGGAGGAGCAAAGGTCTTACTTCTAATCCAAATAACGTCCCTCAGAATACCTCCAGTGATGCCACAGAGGCTGTGGAAACCCCCGAGAAAAAGGAAATTCAGTTAAATGGAAGAAGTTCAGTTTCACTACTTGAAACCAGCATGAAGATCAGCCAGACTTCTCCAGATATACCTGCAGAGGTGCATATTGCACTAAAGGACCATCTCCTCAAACATACACGAGTTCAAAGACAGACGACAGAGCCTACATCTTCCTCCAGGTTAGTGTCCGTTCAACAATATTACTCATTCTAGGAGAAGGAACTGGGTGATCAAGTTTGTTACGAGTGTTTCAAGCTTTGGAACTCTCAATCCCCGCAATCCCTCCACCTTGCTCGGTCCTTCCCCTCTTTTCTGATCATGACTGAAGACCTTCCTCTTCAACCTGCTCCGTCCCCCCAGCTCAGCGTCAGGCTCCGAGACTGTTAAGCTCTCCGAGACCCTGCCCCTTGTGAAGGGCTCTATATAACAACAAGATTACATTTGTGTAACGCCTTTCATGTCGGGAGGACGTCCCAAGGTGCTGGACAGAGTACAGCATTTCAGACCCGAGCTGGGATTGGGGGGGGAAGGGAGGGGAGGGGGTGGCCAATGACATGATCGAAGAAGAGGGTCTTGAGGTGGGACTTGAAGGAGGCTAAGGAGGAGGCAAGGGGATGGAATTCCAGAGGTTGGGGGCAGAGTGGCTGAAGTTATAATATAATATTATAAATGCAAGTTGTTGTTGTTTCATCTTAAGGCTCCACTTCAAATCTGTCCGAGACAGAAGAGGTATTTTTAATTCACTAGTTTTAGTACCAAAATTAACACTTTATAGGGTGCCTGACTGTATACTTGGAAGGAAGTTATGGTACTTTTAGAGTGACTTAGAATAATTATTTTTTGAGATACCTGTACTTAGAATTTTGTTACATTTCATTATACTTCATTTGAATGAGACAACAAGAATGCTTAGAAGTTCCTAACAAGATTTAATTGCACTATAACTCCTTTGTTGATGTAATATATTACCAATTTTGGAAGACAATTGTTAAAGAGTTGATGTTGATAGTATATAGCTGTTAAACATATTGAAAAGGTATTCTACTACCCAGGTCCAGACAACAACAACAACTTGGACTTATATAGCGCCCTTCACTTAGTAGCATCTCGGAGTGGTTAAACCTACTCTGAATGTCCCCCAAAATTCAAACTTGCAGCAAATTCTCTAGAGGCTCCTGTGGCAAACTTGGGAAAATCATTATAAATATTAGTCTGTGAATGTTATAGTGATCAGCAACCAATTTGTGACAGAAAAGACAAGGGACTGAAAATCAATACCTCAAAAACTTAGGGGAAAATAATACTAGTGTGCCAGTGTTTGATTAGTGTTAATCATAATTTTGTCAAATCACACTTGTGTAGCTTAAAATTACATAAAATTGACCAGAAAACCACATATCTGTGCAGCTTGTATCTACACTATGTAATTAACTGAAAGATATTGAAGCATTTCAGCCATTATTAAAATTGCACATCCTAGATTAGAACATTTCAAAGTATTATCTGGCATTGCAAGTTAAAGGTATGTGATCCAATATTTTTTATGTTGTTTACAAGAACTGGCAACATCACCTGCTTAAAGTTCTTGGTTGCTATTCTGTTTTGGTTTGCAATGTACCTTTCACACCTACTTAATACAATTGTTTTGATGAATTGCCAAAAAAAAGTTTGAGTTCAGTGTATTTTCATCAGTATTAATTGGTGCAAGTATACTTACAGGATAATTATTGTTCAGTTATCCAGATTCAACATCAAAAGGCAGAATGCAGAATCATAGCCAAGAAAATTTCAGTTGAGTGTGTGTATATTTTATATATATATATACATATATATACATATATTAATAATGTTTCCCTGCATAGTTTGTTTTCAGGAATAAAACAAATGAAAGCATGTCATAACTAGCAGCAGTAGAATTGTTTTACAATTCAACCTCAAATTGCTTCCTGTGTGTGTGATCAAGCAGAGAATTCAGTGAGCAATATGGTGTGTAATTAGAACATTACATTAGTTAAGTGACAATGATATACTGTCTGAGTCGCAGCTCCTCTGGGTACAGCACTGCAGCTGCATTGTTTCATGCCACTCACACAGAAACATCTTATTGGTGTTCACATTGGACCTTTAGTCATTTGTAGAGGTAAGAGGTTCTAAGGACACGTTTTATATTTCAGGATTTCAATTATTACCATGTGACAATATTTTAAAATAAATGAGTAAATAAATAAAAACTGAGTAATGAAAGGCATATAATAAAAATGTCAAAAGAAACCCAATAGATTTTTGTTTACAAATCAGTGCCGTCGCGTAATGCGACCAAAGCTGCGCTTCAGGACTTGAGTTCGAAACGTGGCGGTGCAGTCAACAGAACCCTAATTCTTTATTTTGCAATCACAATACAGAGAATTAGTACTCATCTGCAGCTCATACTCCTTTATCAAGGTCAACAAACATAAATGAGACCCTTTGTCAGCCTGGTGCACTGGTAGCACTCTCGCTTTCATTCAGAAGGTTGTGGATTCAAGCCCCACCTCGGGACTTGGAATCACACAGTCTAACTCGACACTGCAAAGCATCCCTGGGGATGTGTTGCATTGTCGGAGGTGCAGTCCTTTGAATGAGACACTAAACTGAAGTCATTTGCCTGTTTAGGTAGACGTTAAAGATCCCATGGTACTATTCAAAAAGAGAACGGAGTTTCTCATTCCATGGCAGTTTGTGGGACACTGCTGACGCAAACTGGCTGCTGTGTTTTATCCCCAAATGCAGGGTCAATCCACTTTACAGTATATCCTGTGAAATGCTTTGAGATGTCTCAATGATGTGATAAGGTGCTATATCAAATGCAAGGATTATTATTATTATATAGTGTTTTTGCTTTGTAAAATAAAATTGCAATCACACTTTTTCTTATGGTAGAAAAACAGGAACTGGAGGAAGCCATTCGGTCCATCAAGTCTGTTCCACCAGTTTATTAGATCTCTGCTGATCTTTTCATATCAATGCCCCACCCTTTGTCATAATCTCTCTAATCAAGGCACAGAATTAATCTAAGGATCCCTGACAGTAAATACTGGAATAATATTCAGCTAGATAACACCAGTCTACCAGCCTTTGATGTAAATGTATAATTTGAAAAATGAGTAGAAAGGGCTTGAACGTTTAGTAAAAATATTTTGCTCATATTTTTGGTGGGTTGCATTTGTGCTTCTATTTGCTGTTTCCAACATTTAACTTTTCTAAAATGTCCATAGGTAGTTTTAGCAACTAAGAATAGGGACAAACGACAATATGGATATGCTTCAGCCAAAATTCAGTACTATTTTTCACTGATAATGCATCCTTGCCCTTTCCCTCCATAACACTAAGTATTGCCAAGTTGAATGATCTTGAATAAGGCCACGAGCAGCCATGAAATTAATCTCCAATTGTTTGGGTGATTCTTGACCAAGAAACTTCCTTCTCTTCTTGAATTGTGCCATGTGATTTCTATAACACCCACATGAACAGGCAGACAGGAACCTCAGTTTAATGTCTTATATGAAGGCGACACCTCCAACAATGTAACACTCCCCAGTACTGCTTTGGAGCATCAGCTTAGACTTACATGAGTTCAAATCCGTGACATGGGTCTTGAACCCACAACCCAGGTGAGAATTTGGTCAACTGAGACAGACTTAACACATTGTGGGGGAGGGGAGGGGACTTAAAATTGCTTTTGCATACAAGTCCCCTAAATCCGCATCTAAATGACCTATCATCTCAAGAACCTCTCTTGTCGCAGCTCTCATTTTACACCCCAATATTAATAATTTAGATTTAGCGCTCAAAGCACTGCTTAAATTACACGTTTTCGGAATTCATAAATGTGCATTCAACGGGAGATAGATAGAAAGGATTTTGGTCGCAATATCAATTTAAAATGATGTCAAGCATGTTATCACTATGGTTTCAGTTATTACTGTTACATTTCCACGAGTAAGGAATGAAAATTGGAGTGCCAAAAATTGTAAAATCACTGTATATTCACTGTAAATTCTATCCTTTTTGCTTGTTTCCTTACAGATTGTAATCTACAACAATAACACCTTGGATTTATATAGCGCCCTTCACGCCGGATGGCATCTCAGAGCGCTTAAATATCTAATCTAAATATCTAATCTAATATGATAGTCAAGACCGGTAATCTTTCCTCAGACTTTTTTTCCCCACGTGTAACTTGTATTCAAATAGAATATTACTTTTGCCTGATCCCTTTAACCCCCTATTCCAACTTAGCTTATAAGTCATTGTGCCAATATGTCTTTTCCTTCCTTGTGTAAGCTGCCCTTTCCATTCCCTGAACCATGGCGCCTCCAGGCTTTGATTCACTTACTTCCTTACTTCATGGTGAATATCAGTCCTGTAGCTCAGTGGTGAGAGCATTCACCTTGCAAGCAAGAAACCTGGGTTTGATTCCCGACGGGGCGAAATATTGGGCAAGTTTCCTTACTCCACATGCCTCTGTTTACCAAGCAGTAAGTAGGAACCCGGTTGTCAGTTGATTGGCAGATTGCTTTTCTGGGGGTAATAATTCTTTGAAAAATAAAAGAAAATTGGTCACTCAATCCACGACCATTGTGGGACACTGCTGTGTGCAATTGGCTGCTGTGTTCCTCCCACAAAATATACAATCAATTTACTTTACAGTACATTCTGTGAAACCGCTTCGAGACATCTAGAATAATCCCTCCGAAACAAGAAACAATAATAAATTGGTCATTTTCAACGCACGACCGTTTGTGGGACACTGCTGTGCGCAATTGGCTGCTGCGTTTTGCCCACAAATATATGGTCAATTCACTTTACAGTATATTCTGTGAAGCGCTTTGAGACATCTCGAAGACGTGATAAGGCGCTATATCAAATGCAGGGATTATTATTATTACCAATCTCTGCATACACTTGCATCATCCACCAAGAATCTCTCATACTGTACACCCATTACAGGTCTCAGCCACATTGCCTGCTGATAATATGTACTGCCTGAAAATAATTCTGGATTATTCACAGCTTTTCCAATCCTTTTACCTCCCAATTTTAAACTTTGCTAACTGCATGGGTTTGCAACAAATTCTATAAATGTCAGACACATTCCAGTTTTTTCTGTGAGTTTGACTGTGTATATTCTACACTCCTTTTGTTCTGAGATTACACTTTATAAAAAATGCTCATTAATAGCACTTCAGAAGCATTTTGTGAGACGCTCTTGAATTTACCTACTTACAATAAGTTTCTTTAAATTGGGTAGTCGGAGCATTTTTTCCCTATTCTTTTCAAATTCCTTCAGCATATAATAACAGCCTTTTGTTAAAAGATTTAACAAACAGAAACTACTTACAAAGGGTCCAACATTAGTTATTTTATATTGAGGAGTTAATAATACACAAAAGATGGATATTTAAAAAAAACAATCTAGTAGCAAGCAGTTCTTGAAAGCCACTTTTATTCATGAGATTTTTTTTTTACTTTGACAGACACAATTCATTCAGAAGACATTTGCCAAGACAGATGCATGTTTCAAGTGTTGATTTCAGCATGGATAGTCTTCAGAGGGGAGAGACAACAACAAGCATTGGACGAATTAAGCCAGAACTCTACAAACAGAAGTCAGTCGATTCGGAAGATGACCAGGAGAATGTAAAAACCAGTGGGAAGTTAAACTTCACTCTTAAATACGATTATGAAAATGAGCTTCTGATCATAATGATTCTCAAAGCCTTGGACTTACCAGCAAAAGATTTCTCTGGCACTTCAGATCCCTATGTTAAGATTTTCCTTCTTCCAGATCGGAAAAAGAAATTTCAAACGAGAGTGCACAGGAAGACTCTGAATCCCATCTTTGAAGAAACATTTCAGTTTCCTCTGGTGTTCGATCAACTCAATAATAGAAAGCTCCACTTCAGTGTTTATGACTTTGACAGATTTTCCAGACATGACTTGATTGGGGAGGTTATTGTAGATAACCTGTTTGACGTGTCAGAACTTTATAGGGATTCCACAATCTGGAAGGACATCATTTGTGTCTCAACTGTGAGTATAGATGTTTTAGTTTTCTTTATAATATTTCCAACGATATGTGCTCCTATTACAACATTGTTTTCAGACCTTCTGAAATATTTTAAACAATTTGATGTGCCACAAAACTGGTATTATTGAACTATCTTTTTTAAAATAATAGAATTCAAGAGTCAGAATTGGAGATTTTTCTATCCAGCTATTTATATTACTTACGACGAAGTTAAACAACTAATTTGTCTTTCAATTAATCTATGATAAGATTAGTACAGTACAACAAGCATTGTTTCATCACTTCTGCCTTCATGAAACTTGGACTTATTATAGTCAAATCTCATTAACATGCATGTATCGAATGTGTAACTTACTTTCTAATTTGCTAAACTAATGAAAAGCATACACACTCTTTAATGCTACCTGCAAACCATTTAATATATTCCGATGATTTGTTAAGCAGTCGACTGCTGATTTAATGACGATAAAATTAATGAATTATCTCATTCACCATTACCGTGTATTTTTTACTGATCATGCCTTCTGTTGAATCGTATCTAAACCCTTAAGCTTGTATAAACATGGCTGTGTATTTTATTTTTAGATGCCAGTTTAGCAATTTAAGGGGCACTATTCAGGAGCCGTTATTAATACTTTGTTTATAATGCTGGAAGTGAAGCAATACCATTTTGCAGCAGTAGAGCAGTCAGAAGGCTGAATTTTTAATTGCCAACAAGACTATGCACAGAACTGTGAAAACGTGTTTTAGGATTATTAAGCACAGTCTCATGAAAGGAGAAATTTTAAGGGATTGATTAAGATTAGAGTTGCAATTGATGTTCACTGCTACGATTATACAGGTGAAATGCTGTAGAAACTACCTTCTCAAGTGATTTCAGCAGCGAGGTTTCAGGGCAGTATATTTCCAGCTTGTTTTCCTCAGGCCCTGTATATCGTGCCTGTTTTGTGGTGAAAAGCATGTTGGAAAACCCACATTATTCTAGAATGATTCAAAATACACTAACTAGTATGGTATTTGAATTTATTACTTTGATTTGTCTGCTTTAGTGGAGTCCTGTAGCTCAGTGGTTAGAGCACTCGCTTTGCAAGTGAGAGACCTGAGTTCAATTCCAGGCAGAGGGCAAAACCTTGGGCAAGTTTCCTTACTCCGCACACCTAATAATAATCCCTCCAAAACCCCAAAACAATAACAAATTGGTCATTTTTAATCTACGACTGTTTGTGGGACATTGCTGTGTGCAATTGACTGCCGCGTTCGCCCACAAATATACAGTCAATTCACTTTACAGTCTATTCTGTGAAGCGCTTTGGGACGTTCTCCCGACGTGAAAAGCGCTATATCAAATGCAAAGATTATTATTATTATTATTATTTATTGTAACTTTTTCCCATGCAATATAAATCCACGTTCCCTTATAGTTGGTTATTTCTTCAGCATGTAGTAAAACTGATTATGAGATTGCACGAGGGATAGCTGAGGTAGATGTACTACATTCACAATAGTAAAATATGTGTAGGAAAATACATAATAGAAATCTGTAAATCTTTAAGTTGTGCTGTGGACATCAGTGCAAGTGTTTTATTCCGTATCAACCATCCATATCAACAGAAAATCTGACTGGTAATCATGTTGTGAAATATGCACAATGAGCTTTTAAAGCCTGGTGATTTACAACCAAAAGTGGTATTGCTCCATTATTCACTTTTACTATAGTTGTAGTACATTTAGTCATGTATTGAAATGCTAATTGAAATCTTGTGAACCAAATATCACTCTAATGGCTTGAGAATGAGCCATTTCATACCTTTCAATAGCCTAGAACTGTGTCTCCTGACATTCAAAGCTGAATAATTCTTGGAATTGGGTTGGGGGAAGGAAAACCAATGTGTAAAGACGGACAGGCTGATATAGATCTTCTTACCCCAACAAAGATTTAAATTAATTTGCCTATTTGTTCCTCAATCCATATTCTCCAAGTCTTTCTTTGGTCACAGTAAATAGCATCAGATTTTTCCTCCAGCTGGTTTCTGAACTAGTATTTGTTTTAGGCAAATAGAATTCAATAAGACCCAAATGTGAAGCCTGGGCAGCAATTGCAAACAACTAATATCGCCTTCAAATCTAACCTGAATCACAAGATTACAAGATCATAAGATTGGTTGGATGAGTAAGGCCCTTTGGCCGATCCTTACAGAATGCCCACCCTACTCATCACAGAGTCAAGCTGTTAACTAGTGAGGACTACAAAAGTACATTTCATTGAAAGAAGAAACAAAGAAGGAACTTGGATTTTTATAACACTATGTCACATGTAAGAAACTCACAGATAATTGTCAAATAAATAAGATGACTGAAATAAATACAAATAAATAAAGATTATCAACATTAATGTTTGTGTGTAAATAGTTAAGATACAGCGTAGTAATTTGGGGCTGCCGGAATTGAGTCAACTCTCGGTCTCAGTAGTCTGGGTCCTGAACCAGGTGGATCTGCAGTATTCCAGGGAACTGTTGATGACAGATCAATCAGTCTGGGTCAGTTGCAGAACTTGGAGTGGCAGACAAGTCACTAGGCAAGTTATGTGACTTTAGCTTGCTAAACCTCAACACTACCCTTGCCTTCCCCATACACACTCTGAAGTGTCCACACCAACCTGTGCCTAACAGTCTTGGGAATTAGACAAGTAGGATGTGTTCCTCCAGGGAGAGAGAACACATTCCATTCCAGACGCAGAGAGATTTCCACGCAGAGATGGCAAACCTATGTGAAACTCTCAGCTTGATTTAGATACTCTTAAGCATGGTGATGGGTTTCAACAATTGTCTTGACACCTGACAGACCAGAACATAATCCCTCAAACAGCTATGAGGTGAATGACCAGTGAATGAATTTATTGGCCAGCACACCATGAATAGCTCTCTTCTCATTTAGAAAAGTGTCACAGCGTCTTTAACTTCCACCTGAAAAGATCCATGGGATGCAGGTTCAAATTCTCATCTATAGGATGTCTCCTCTGAAATGCTATGCTCATTGAATAATGCACTGAACTGCCAGACTAGTTTATGTGAAGCTGTGACCCACAACCTTCTGTCCCAGAGTCAAACCCGTTACCAATGAGGCAAACCAATTGATGTGAATAAGGCTATCAGGGAGAAGATCTCCTTTAATTCCTTGGCAGGGCGAAACGTTTGCTCAAGTTTCCTGCCTCCACACGCCTCTGTTTACTTACCAGTAAGTAGGAACCCGGTTGTTCGTCAGTTGGCTGATCGCTTTTCCAGGGATACTAATTGTTCCAAAAAATTTTAAAAAATTGGTCACTCAATCTACGACTGTTTATGGGACACTGCTGTGCGTAATTGGCTGTCACGCCTTGTCCACGAAATATACAGTCAATTCACTTTTTTACGGTATATTCTGTGAAACGATTTGAGATGTCTCGAAGACATTAAGAAATCCTTAACCATGGTCATATCTAGAAGTAGAAGATGAGAAAACTATGAGCGTCTGGAAGAGAAGAAGCAAAGCAACAGATTTTATCAATTCCAAACATTTAACTGCACGTGGCAACATGTTTATAAAGCAGGCTTTAATGCAAACTACATTCTTATTATGTGCACAGAACAATAGCAGATAACAATCTATAAAATGTGATTCTGAACAGTCACATTGCTGCCCAATAAATATTTTAATAGTTGATCATTATATGCTGCGCTGCTTCAGTTAGCATTACTGATAATTAGCAATATATTTTTTAATAGCTTACTAAGATAGAACTATATTCAAAAATAGCTTAATAAATAAGAACTAAGTCCATTCTAACCAAAAGGACTAATTTACTTTTACCCTTAGGAAATAATTATTTTCCACAGAGCTGCAGTTCTGATCTTTTACCTGGGCTTGGTGATCCTGATTTCTTAAGTAAAGATTAGGGGTATTTTAATAATAATAATGATATTGCTATAGCACCATATCACATTCTCAAAACACAGGATTCACTGGAGAATGTAGTAACTGTGTATTTTGTAGGCAAACTGGGTAACATGTTGCTCCATTTATTTAATCTTTAACCTGTAGGATATAATTATACGGTTTCTTACAAATTCGATAGAAAGTCATACTGTATTTGGTACAAGTGGATAATCTTGGAATAAACAGATCTGTTTAGGGTTGTTGCGGTCTTGTTCTTTTAAACCACATGTTAATAGAATTCCTGTGGTTTTCAGTAGCACATTCAAGATACCTTTTTCAAAGGATGGTGACACTATTTTTATATCACAACAGTACAAGACCTACAATTTACTATGTTCTTAATTAACTGTATTAGCATTCAAATGTACAGATTATTATAAATTGACTATCATAAGAAACCAAGTTGTGATCCCAGGAAACATCCATCTCTGCCAGCCTTATATAAAACTGAGTAATTCCTACGATCATGCCTTCTTGTAAATTGTAAAGCCTGCTTGGAAGAATATAAAAGTATAAATATGAGGATTGCCTTAACTAAAACTCAGACTTTAATTGCTGAAGGTTAACCACTAGGATTCCCTGCAAAGAAAATGCAGTTACGACACTTTGAGATGTCCTCCCGACGTGAAAGGTGCTATATCAACTGTATAAATTATTGTCCAACTACCACAGGTGTGTTTCTCTGACTGCTGGCAGGTTCTATGGCAGGAAGTTACTGATACCTCCTTCATATTAGGGTTTCCCACACTTCAGGAACTCACTCCGCCACCCACCCTGCAGCCCTCGGAGTTGGGTGTTCTGTCACTATTACTGTGTCCGGAGTGCTTGTCCTCCTCTGTCATGGGTCAGTCTCGATCATAATTTACTGTAGGCAAGAGCTCTGCGCTCTCAGCCTATCTGGCCACATCCAGTGTAAAGATCAAACACATTCCATGCTCATTTAGGAGTTAGACTTTCATGTAACTGCCAATAAACTCTTATATTCCAGTTCGTGACTTGGCTTCTTATGCAATGTATTACTGGTTCATCTCTAGCAATCCAACCTTGCTTTTCCATAATGTTGATAGCTCCTGATTTAGCAAGTCTTCATATTGCACAAACTAATGGCTGGCCTAACAAATCACAATAAATGCTAATTAATTGTGCACACCCGGCTGAAAGCTCACCTTAGTTTGGTAGTTACCCTGGATCTCATCAATCACTTCTAAAAAATCTATAGGGTGACCATAAATGTCTTATTTTTCAGCTACCCTATTATCTAACAAAAAAGATAATTTCTTTAAGACTTAAGACCTGAGTTCAATTCCAGGCAGGGCGAAACCTTGGGCAAGTTTCCTTACTCCACACGCCTAATAATAATCCCTCCAAAAACAATAATAAATTGGTCATTTTCAATCTACGACTGTTTGTGGGACATTGCTGTGCGCAATTGGCTGCCGCGTTCGCCCACAAATATACAGTCAATTCACTTTACAGTATATTCTGTGAAGCGCTTTGGGACGTCCTCCCGACGTGAAAAGCGCGATATCAAATGCAAGGATTATTATTATTATTATTATTAGACATTGCAATGGTATCAAGACTTTTTGGTCACCCTGCATAATGTCACTAATGGTATGTCTCTACAAATACAAACCATACCTCTGATTACACGTTGAAAAGCATTCACTGTTTTACAAATTCCAACCCTACGTACTTATTTAGCCATTTAAGTAATCTCACAGAGTGAATCCAGCATCACAGGATGCCATTATTGTAGGTTTTCAGGAACTGCAGTCCAAATTTCGTTTATGCACATTGAAAAAATAATCTATATATGAGTTTACCTTTAGGGTTGTGAAACCCAAATCTCTTGTGGAAACAGTTCTATATTCCATTGATCAGAGCAATAGCCTTTTATATTGTTAATATTAATTGTACAGATGGTCTTTTCTGCACTATTTATATGATTCTTCCATCGTTATACATATTTTAAACATTTTTAGATGAAGCAATTTTAAGATATTGATTTTCACTTTACTTTTCGCACAATGGGGGAAAGACATCAGCTTATATTTGAAGGTTATCTTCAAAAGACCTTTTGACTTCATGGAGTGCAAATAAATTATAGTGGATGACTATTGCAAAGCAGTAAACCAATTTAGAGATTTACAGTAGGTAGTATTTCAAGAAAGGGAAAAATGCATTAAAATGATTCTATAAACTCATTGAGGTCCCATGTTGATGAAGTTCTATTTGTGGTTATCATTAATATTATAATAATAATAATGATGACGATGTGATAATCCTCTCATTTGATACATTGCCTTTCACATTGAACTTCTCAAAGTGCTTCACATGATTTTACTGTAAAGTGTAGTCAGTGACTGTACTCTCTCTCCTAAAAACAATTCCAATTAATAATGTAAATTGTCAAAACAACTACTAAGTTTGTGAGAACAAAATAAATGCTTTTCAGAACAAACTTTCTCACTGGTTTCAAGATAGTTGTTGGAATTTTCTGGTATTCTCTTTAATGAGTAAATTACAAATGGAATAAACAGAATACGGTATGGGAATCTGCATCAGATTCAAACATTTGCATTTCCCTTCATAGCCTTGGGTAAATGTGATGTGGTTATGGTCACTTGTAGTTATATTAACTACTGTGAATGCCAGAAGAATAAACAGACACTGCCATGCCCTTTATGTGTCACAAAAAGGATGATTGATAGGTAAACAAACAAAGTGTGATTGAAAACCGCTTTAAGGCATTATAAGACCTAAATAGCATTTTGATATTACAGAGGTGCTACAGAGTTGACATTTAATTTCATTGTGCTGCTGCTGCAGTAAATAACATTAACAATCTTATTTAACATAAGCATTTGGGTTTGGCCCAGTACAATAATTCTATGGTTAGCAATATATGAATATTGTATAAACAATACAGGATGTAATGATCTTACATTTCTTCAAAACAAATTGTACTTTTCTGGAAATTGTAGTATGTAGTAAGTGACCACAATCATTACAAGTTAAAAGTCTATTCATTCCTATAAAAAAGACAATATTTCTGTACTATTATGTTATTATGAGAGGATTTTTCTGTACTTGTCACTTGTGTTGTTTCCTGATGAGTGAGTTCCTCTAAAGCCATTATAAGCAACAAGTAGTTCGCCAGTTAAATTCAGGATTCTTCTTCAGTGGTTCAGCAAAATAGACGGTATTCTGTCTTGAAATGCAAATACAGAACTAGTTTACTACAGTTTTTGTTGAGTCAAAGATTTATACAATAGACAAAGATTACTAAAATAATTTGGGAACTGAGGCTCAAAAGGGCCTGAAAGGAGCTGAGCTGATCAAAATCCAACATCAACGTGTTTTATTTTACACTCTACCTTACCACTCAAAATCTATTTTTACAGCTACGTGTATTAAAAACATGTTAAGGTGTTTATTCACACATGAAGTGATAATAATTTCTTCTTATTTTATCACCTAATGCTAAAAACTATATTTTCTACTACTTTTGTACAATACCTTACACGTGAGTGTTATATGTATAATAAGGACACTTGTGAGTGATGGACTTATTCTGTGCAGTTGGGCTGATTAGGGACTGGATTGAGCAGCCTTTCAGCCCAATTGTATGAATTGGATTCAACTCACTCCCACATGTGAAAAGACACCTTACTGTGTAACTCAGACTTTTCCCAGATGAAGTTTGTGCCCTGGTATTAAATATGCTGATGGTTATGCCTTTTTATCAGACGTTTTAGATGACAAAGACGTTCCTATTCACTCGCATTCAAACAAAGAGAGTGAATAGGAACTTCTTTGTCATCTAGGAACTATATACTTGCATCAGAAACCAGATATTTATATCATCAGATAACAAATTCTGTAACAGCTTTTATCAAATATAATATTATTTTAATTGACACGTTTTAAATATTCACAATTTGATGTATCAATCAAAATGGACTTTTCAAAATTTTAAATTAGCGTGGATTATATTTTTCATTATTGTTATTTTATCCTTTAAGAAGGATGAGCACATCTTCAAATATCAGTCAATCGCCCTGATGGTTCAGGGTGTTCCTGGCTTCAGGAGAATCTTAAACAAGGTATTATCAGCAAATGTCTACAAGTGCCTGCTTGTGTGAGATTCAAACTTTAACAAGAAGTACAGCAGGTCATTTATAAACTGACTGTTAACAAGTGAAAACAGAAAATGACTGTCTCCGATGTAATTATGTTATGTGAGTAAAATACCAGTATAGGTTAGGATAGTACTGAGTGTTCAGATCTTCTGACAATTTGGAGGCAGAGGAGCAATTGTAGAGGTACAGTATGTCTGCCTCGATGAATAAAAATTAACATGGAAGCTTCAGTAAACTTCTCAGATATGACTGGATTTTTAAAAAATAATCACTTAATGACTGATTGAGCTTAAAATGACTGAAACACTGAATTGATCTCAAATTGCTCAAAGTAGTTTAAAGTTGATTGTTTTTTTTTCTCCTACTGATAGGAAAGCGTGGATTTGGGAGAGATCATGTTTTCCCTTTGCTACCTTCCAACTGCTGGGCGAATGACACTGACAGTCATTAAATGCAGGAATCTTAAGGCCATGGATATTACAGGCGTTTCTGGTATGTTTATTCATTGAGGTAAATCCTTTGAGTGGTAATGCAAGTAAAGAGGCTTCTTTTGGAATAAAATAATACAGTTGTTTTAGTTAATGAAAATAAACACTGAAGGCAACTGATATTGATCATGACAATCTTAAAGAAATGATGATATATATGTTTTAGATAATAGGGTAGTTATCACGACCTTTTGGTCACCCTGTATGAAGTGTGAGCTTTGTAAATTCTGTGTTTAATGGGGTTTAATCCTTTCTTTCCCATCTGTGGAAAATCTAATATTATTGCATGAGTAGGGGAAGAGAAAAGCGAGGTCAAAGAGATCGGCCTTGAGGTGGGTTTTAAAGGTGGATAATGGGAGGGAAAGACTGAGGGACTTTGAGATGGAGTTCCAGAGAGCAAGGCAGAGCTTACCCACTATTGGTGTGTTGGAGCAGGCTGGACCCATGAAGCAGGCTGGTGTTTGTTGAGCAAAATAAAATATTTGAAATAATTTGCCTGTTTTTGACCCATCGTCAATTTTTCTTTCCACTTCTCTTCTTCCCTGTTGTATTTGCGTCCTGTTATTTTCTTATTATATTCTACCAATCTTATCTGTTTCCTACCTATTGAATCGGAGCTAAAACATTATTTTCCGCAAATGTTTCAGACCCGTACGTAAAGATATCCCTAATTTGTGATGGTCGGCGATTAAAAAAGCGGAAGACAACTATAAAGAAAAATACTCTCAACCCTGTTTACAATGAGGCAATGATCTTTGACATCCCTCCAGAGAGTATGGAGCATGTTAGCCTCTTAATTGCTGTAATGGATTATGATCGGTGAGTTTGACTTTATTTCTTCTGATTTATTATTCTTTTACTGTCTGCTGTCTTCATTTGCTGAGTGAACTGTATTAAAAATCTAACCTAAGCTGTCCTTCCATGCAGTGTCTTCCTGCAGTTCAGTGTATTTAAAAAAAGAGTCAAAGAATGATTTACTTTACAGAAATAATTAAAAACAACAGCAAGTTAGAACTTGCACACCACCCTTCATGTAGGGTAACTTCTTGGACTCTAACACACATATAATAATAATAATAATAATCCTTGCATTTGATATAGTGCTTTATCATGTCTTCAAGATGTCTCAAAGCGCTTCACAGAATATACTGTAAAGTGAATTGACTGTATATTTTGTGGGCGAAATGCGGCAGCCAATTGCACACAGGAGTGTCCCACAAACAGTCGTGGATTGAAGTGACCAATTTATTATTATTATTTTTTGAAGGAATTATTACCCTCGGAAAAGTGATCTGCCAATCGACTAACAACCGGGTTCCTACTTACTGCTGGGTAAACATAGGCGTGCGGAGTAAAGAAACTTGCCCAACATTACGCTTGTGCAATATGTGTAACGGTTACAGCAGTAATGATGTAGGTTCTTTTGAGGTGAACATTTAGCAAATGATGATCTTTTACATGCTTATGCTGCTATGTATGTATATGGCTTAAGCCTAGCATGGTGACACGCTTGCCTCAGCTCTGGTTATAATGCTATATTTTCCCAACAGACTATTAATATTCGCACAATAGACTAGGAATATTATTATTATTATTAATAGACTCTAGGAATAGAGTCTGATTTGATGTTTGCTGTTAGAGTCATTCACAGTAGTATCATGTAATACTACACACTGCAGTGTGAAGTGATTCATGCTGTGTGTGGAATTATGTAATAATAATAATATATGAATGAATATTGTTAAATTGACAAGTGTAAATTTGTCAATTTGTTCATGCTGCTGTGTCTCAGTAGTGGATAGGTTTGGCTCTTAATAATCTGTTTACTCCTTAACTCACAGAGTAGGTCACAATGAGATAATTGGGGTCTGTCGAGCAGGAAATGATGCAGATGGACTTGGACGAGATCACTGGAATGAAATGCTGGCATATACCCGGAAGCCAATAGCTCATTGGCACCCTTTGGAAGAGGTAAGGCATAACTTTTATTCTTCTCGTGATATTGTTTACTGATTAAACCAATACAATCAAAGAATCCTACAGCACAGAAGGAGGCCAGTTGGCCAATTGTGCCTGGGATGGCTCTTTGAAAGAGCTATCGAATTAGTCCACCTCCCCCGCTTTTTCCACATAGCCTTGCAACTTTTTTCTTATCAAGTAAATACAGCAAACCTCACATAAGTCATATCAATTGGGACCATACATTTAATATGACTTATGCAAAGAATGAGTTATGTCAAACTTGAATAGAATATAAACTCTTGAACAGATGTACAACTTAGTTGATCATACGATTTATACAGATTAGACTTCTGCGAGTTTTACTGTATCCAATTCACTTTTGAGAATACTTGGAAAAGCATTAATATTGTATTGTACTGCAATAAAGCAGAGCAAACTTTTCATGCTCCGTATTCCGCACTTTTTTTAAAGAAACAGTCATTAAAGAAACGATTGTACAACTTATTCTCAGGAAATTCTTGGATCGGCCAAAATCGTTTAAGAGAACCTGGGGGAGTGGAGTTTCTATTTAATCATTCATGTTATTCCTAAGAAACATAGAAATCTACAGTGCAGAGGAGGCCATTTGGCCCATCGTGTCTGCACCGACACACAGAGCGAGGAGATCACTTTAGTCCCACAGCCCTGTTTTATCCCCATACCCCTTCAAGCCCCTCTCTTTAATATGGTGTGTTTATTACAGCAAGGTAAGGCTCAATCCTGAGACTGTCTCCACCAGGTGGTCTCAGGAACATTCCTCCAGTTTGCCACATTTGTGTTTTGTTGCGTTTTAAAAGTACACAGTCTATCTATTTTACAGTATATTTTGTGATAAGGTGCTATATCAAATGCAAGGATTATTATTATTTATTATTTTATGAAGCAACATGAATGCAGTTGAATTTCCACCATAACCTACAAGAACTAATAGTATTTAATAGTTCGCTTAATTCCAACATTTGATTACTGCTGTGAAATTACTCCCATGGCATCGGTAATTTAATTTTTCAAATGTATGCTTTAAGTTTATAAGATAGTTTTATTCAGTTTTAAAACAATTTATAAGGTAATAGTGGTTCCTACATACCTCCGTTCTTGAGCATGTTGCAGAGAAGATAGTGGAAGCTGTTTTGCCCAAGTTATTGTTGTGGACATTTTTCTTACATGCTGAAATTACACGAGTACCTATTTGATAATACTGCATTCCATTTTCGGGGGAATACATTCATTGATAACAATTGAAAATAATAAAAATAATCCTTGCATTTGATATAGCGGCATATCATGTCTTTGCGACGTCTCAAAGAGCTTTGCAGAATATACAGCAAAGTTCAGTGACTGTGCATTTTGTGAGCGAAACACGGCTCCAATTGCGCACAGCAGTTATTCAAAATGAAAAATATAAATTTATTGCACACAAGAAATAGGGCAGCAAGAATAGTATAATAATATGAATTCCAAAAATACTGTAAAAATTGTTCTGTGGAAAACTGGTGATTCCCTTAACAGACCTTGAATGCAGTAGTACAATCTATGAATGAGTGCACTGTAGTTAGAACTTAAGAACCTTCTGCACTAAACTTTGTAGAAAACATTGTAGAAAAGGGTACAGTATCTTGGAATAAACTGTATACCACCTTGTGTATTCATAATTATAATGGATTCACATACTATGTGAACACTTTTGATCTAATTTTTAAAATGACTATTCTTGGTGTAATATTGCTATGAATGATTTTTTTTCTGCAGTCACCAGGACAAGCGACGAGTTTCGACAGTCAAGGTTCATGTCCGTCCCCAAAAATCCCGTTGACACCGTAACCGAGTGAGAGTGTGTGCTGACTGGCAGAGTAATTGTCTGCCTTGTACGGTTACTACAATCTGTCTGGGATGTTGTGTTACTTCATCATTTATATAAGAGGATAGAAAATGGTGAGATATATATGTTTGGATGAAACGACACAGAATTATTAATTGCTGTCTAGTCTTTGGCGAATCAGGCGATGTGGAAAAGAATGCAGATGGTCACAATTGATGTTGTAAGTTTGATTGCTGAGAAGATGGAAAGAAAGAGCATCTTAAAAAATTTAAATCCCCATTATTATGCCCATCAGATGAAAGTACTCATGTTTGTAAGTTGCAGCAGAAAAGTCCTTGGAATAATGTTAATCATTAGTGATTGAATAATCACTAATACTGCACCTGAACATCCAAATGACCTGTAAAGTCTTTATAAGAGGCAAAGTACTGCAGATCCTGGAAATCGGATACAAACACAGAAGTTGCTGGGAACACCCAGCAGGTCAGGCAGCATCCATGGAGAGAGGAAAATGAGGTAGCGCTTCAGGTTAATGACCTTTTTTCAGAACTCAATGAAAGGTCTCTGACCTGAATCGTTAATTCATTTTCCTCTCCCCATGGATGCTGCCTGACCTGCTGGGTGTTCCCAGCGACTTCTGTGTTTGTAAAGTCTTCATAGTGTTTTTAATTTTTTAAATAATTAGGATATGAGTAAAGAGCTTTCTCTTGTCTGGTTAGTATAATAGGCTGTTGGCGATGTCTGCCAGTACCTACAATTGAAACCCTTGATACTACACTTGTGCAAAATCTGTTACCATGGCAGAGGCAGTTTTGTTCGAAGTGATGCAGGGTCCTTTTATACGCTTCCATTAATAGCAAAGCATCTTCCTTGAATATTCTGCTGTCTCACTGAAATGTTAAAACCTGATTTCTGAGTCCCTCCCCTTCCTTGCATTTTAAACAGTCCTTTTATCCATGAAAATATAAATATATTTACAAGTTGCTTTTTTGGAGGGGTATTGATTAATATCGTTTTAATCCTTTATTAACCCCTTGCTCTAACACTGACATAAAGAACGTATTGATCCTGATTTCTCTAAAGCAGAATTTGTAACTACAATTGCTTTGTAATTTTTAACATTCATTTTTATGCGTTTAACAAAAAAAAGCTCTTTAAAGAGGATCTAATATATAGTTTAGTTGCACCCTTCATGCCAGGCACGTCTCAGAGTGATGAAACAAAGCGATGTATTTAGGGTGACAGGTTTAGAATTCTAGGGGCAAATATCCATAAGGAATATATCTCTTATCTCCCAGTTAGACCTGCAATATCATTGGCCTCATCATGAAAGTGATTTTTGCCAGAAATAATGATTATAAAAATGTTCAACAGCAAATGGGAACAAATGCAACGTAGAATAGGAGTATTTAATCAGGGTAAATTTTCAGGACCACTTTTGCTTACGAAGATGTCATATTCGTAGGAAGGACTGCATATTTCTAAATTGTACAAATATGTGCTAACAATTTGCAAACTGTTAAGTACAGATTGAAATATAGAATCAATTCCAACAGTTTTATGAAGGATGCTCTTTTATCTATGAACAATCATCCTACCCTTGACATTCAGTTGAAAATCATTCCCTTAGTTTTCTGACCTTGTGAAGCCTTGTGCAAGTTATTGTCCACTTCCAGACTTGTTCAGTTTTTTCCAAAGAGAAATGTTCAGATTATCAACAGAATTGAAGATTAATTGTCTTTCCTCAAATACTGAAACATCCAGTGGTTGAGGAAAATATAATATATGGAACTAATAAGTAGGAGAAAACCATCCTCTCAGCAGACAACCACAATTTGGATCCATTCTAATTCTTACTTAAGTACCAACTTGCACACATTATCCTGTATGCAAATACATATATAGACCGTTTCTAACAATTTTCAAGGTTCACTGAGTTAATAGTTGTAAAGCTTTGTTTCCTGAATATTTTGTTTGTGATTATTTGGCAATAGTTTCTAGCAGTGATGTTATGTATAGTGATCAAAGGCCTCATTTCTTGCTTGTCATTCAGTCATTAAAGCCAACCTGAATATGGGAGCCATAAAACTGCACCATGTTCATCCCATCTGCCAGATCCCACAGGTATCTATCTGCTTGTTGTCACTGTACTATGGGACTCATTCCATCACCTTTGAGGATATTGCTCCAAAGTCAGTCAGACACGTGCTTTGCCCATTGTAATCTTGCTGTAACTGAGACATAGGCCATTCTATCATTATTTAAACAACGGATTCACTTAACTGATTGCAAACAGCCTCCTTTCATGTCTTCCTCAAGGTTCTTTCTTTCAGCAACATACAACAACAACAACAAGATTCCATTTATAGAGCGCCTTTCACGTCGGGAGGACGTCCCAAAGCGCTGGACAGTTGGGTCAGGACAAAGTGTAAATTACCACCAACTTCATCCACGTTTCTTTTCACATTGAACAATAAGGATCTCCTGCACACTGGTTTCCATATTGCATGAAAAACACTTTGATATTTCTGCATTTCACGTCTTAACATTGCTGATCTCTGCTGAATGGGTGGCTTAATCATTGAAACTCCATGGAAAAGAAGTGCCTTTAGCGGTAACTAGTCAAAGTTACCACTAAAATCACATCTAAAGTGCCTTAATAACTACCAGTCTGAAGATAATACCAATTACCTTTCTGGCTATGCTAACCTGGGTGCCACATGGCAAAAATGTTTCAGGAGCTCCATTTCTTTTGAGAGGCTTTCATTTTTGCACACATGTGTGCACATAGACACAGACACACGCATACACACACACACACGCACCCATATGAACTCACCCACATAGATTAAAAATATCTAAAATGTTCCCAAATGCAATTTCTACATTTGAGATGGACACATCACCAGCTTTAGCATATGTTGCCTTACCTGTAATTTTTGATATGGACATCAGAGGTCCAAAACTCATATTTATTTTATTGCTAATGATAATAATAATAATCCTTGTATTTGATATAGAGTCTTTCACTCTCAAAGCGCTTCACAGAATATACTGTGGAGTACAGTAACTGTATTTTTTGTGCAAATTGTGCACAACTTGCCAATTGTGCACAACAATGTCCCACAAATAGCTATGAGATGAATGACCAATTTTATTTGATGGATTGTTGGCCAGGACACCAGGAGAAACTCTCTTCTCTTTTCGGGTAGGGCCATGGGATCTTTGAACAAGCAGGTGGGACTTCAGTTTCAAGTCTCATCTGAAGGATGGCACCTCCAACAATTAATCCCCCAGTAATGTGGTGGATGGTCAGCATAGATAATATGAGTTCCAAGTCCCGAAATGGGGCGAGGATGGGGGGGGGGGAGAGAATAATTGAACAGTTCAACGCCAGTATGTAAATGAAGTAAAATATTTCAATTGAGAGGAAAATTAATGCACCTTCTATTTTTGTTTAAATACGACTGTAATATGTTGCATTCAGCAGATATCCAACATAGTTCCCAATTGTACCAGTTAGACGAATTAAAAGATCAGAAGACATTGCAATGACATTGTGTTGCTCAAAAATCCAAGCATTTACCAGTTGCGATATTCAGGACCTGTATTTTTTTAATTTAAAAAAAATGATTGGGATACAAGTTCTATCAGCATTTATACAAAGGTCCTTTTAGAATATTTATATTGCCAAATGATGCTAATGCAGTGACGTGACAAGTGTATGTTATTTCTGCTTCCATTGGGTACATTGCCCTGAAGATGGATGTGCCATTTTGGTGCTGTTTAAACTGATTATGTTGTGCCGATTCAGTCAAGGCATTTCCTTAAAGCTCATACATTCTTTTCTGTAAGTGGCAGAGTACCGTTATTAGCAGTACACAGCAAATTTAAGCTGTCATTCAGTTAGTTTTTGTTAAATGAATGCTATGTATGAAATCTACGACAACCCTTCAGTTTTGCTGAGTGAACATTTTAAATCTATTGGCTTTGGTTTTATTTTTGATTTGTTAAAATTATATTATTAATGCCGATTTGCTGGTAATAATGACTTAAGTTTTTTTTAATAAGAGTCTCGGATTCAATACACCTTTAGGTTATTCTGCTCTCTCATTGCACATTTTGCTATACATTATATGACCCTGTGCGCTTAGCAATTTAACTCTGTTATAGCATTTATAAAGCATATGAACACATTCACACAACTTACTGAACAGAGGTGAGTCCATATAAAACAATGCGCTACATGGAGCTCACTAAGCAGAAACATTTCCTAAAGATCTATATTTTGTTTTACAATTGGTCTGTATCATTACAATTATTAAAGTTTGGAGCGGGAACAACAAACTCACATCAATAGTTATATTTTTAAAGAAATGTTTCTGGAATTTTTTCATACTCGTGTCAGCTGTTCCTAGATTTGCTTCTTTAACATGACTGTTTCAACAACAGACAGACAACTAACTACGCATAGCATTAATAACTCATTTGTGTGTGCGACTTTTCTTCACAAAGCATATTGTTCAAATAATAAAAATTGACACAAACGCGCAAATTAGAAAGATCATTTGCCTTTGCACCATATTGAGCACCAGTACCATACAACAAAGACATAGATTCTGGTGAATTAAATACAAGATGTATAACTACTAGTTTTTTTTAAACCATATAACGCCACCTTTCTTCTGGCTATTATTGCAAATGGAAGAACGTAGAACATTTTGTTGATTATTTAACAGTTTTGCTTATATTGAAGGAAAAAGGCACTAGGTTTTGTCCGAACATTTTGTGAAAAAAAAGTGCTTTGTAAACGTAATAACATCTCTGAGAAATAGACTGACGTAGGAAAGCTTTGTGCATCAGGAAGTCTGGTGAAATGTTATTCTTTTACTCTTATTGGTAGTATATACGATAGTGTTGGGGAAAAAATAAATACAAAGTTAAAATTTAAGTAATAATAATAATCCTTGCATTTGATATAGTGCTTTATCACGTCTTCGAG